GGACGCGCGTCTGCCTGCCCGTCGCGGCTCCGGACACGGAATGCCCGCCGCTGCGGGGCCCGGGCCGCGGCCGAGAAAAGTTGGGGCGGACCGCGAGCCCGCGTGGGCCGGGCGGGAAGTGCAGGTGCCGGGCGGACTCCGGGGGTCGGAGAGGGACGCGGTGAGAGGGGGTCCCGGGCTGGAGGCGGGGCGGCCCGGAGGGCCCCGTTTGGGAAGGCGGGAGACGCGGGGACTCTGCGGGCGGGAGGAACGGGTGCGCTCAGGAGCTTGGGCGGGAGTGGGCAAGTGTCCGGCCGGGGGCCCTGCGGGTGAGGAGGGAGGGAGGAAGGGAGGCTCGACCCCCGGGGGGGGGGCAATCCCTGGGGGCCGGGGGACCAGAAACGAGCCAGCGGCGGGGTAGAGCGATGGGGAGTGGGCTTTGCCTTCTGCCTGTCTCTTTCGGGGCAGACCCCAAGAGAGGGGTCAGGCTCAGAGTTGGGGACACCTTTGTCGACTGAAGACCCTATAGGGAGTTCCTGTAAGGGGTGGGGGAGGGAGCTGAGCGTTGCTTCCTCTACCGCTTGGGTCAAGTACCGCCCCTCCCCATCTGCCGGATTCGCCTCCCAGACTGCAGTGCTTTTGTCCTGGGGAAGTTGAGGAGGGACCCCTGAGTGGATGGGATGTTTAGGGATTCCAAGGTGAGTAGGATTGGATTGCATGAAATCATAACTGTCGCTGGGAGCTGTCTGAAAACATAACTCTGACCTCCTCCCACACCCACCCACCCCATTTCCTCTCCAGTCTGACAACGTCTGGATTCCCTTGGTTGGGCTAGCAGGTCCCCAGAGCCCAGCAGCACATCTGCTCACAGGGTCGTGGGTATAAGACGTGGCCCTTTATTCTCTGGCTGAGGTTGGTTATTTCAGAAACAAGTGGTTCTGGAGATGCTGGATGCTTCATTAGAACAACCTGTGTGGTGTCCCTCGACAATGGAGATGACTCATGTTGGCTTTTTTTTTTCTTCAAATAAACTTTGTATTCAAGACACGAGTATGCCAGGTCATTTGCAGCAGTGATAGAGCTGGAGATGCACACTGTGGGCCTCCTGAGCCCTAGTTCTAGTCCTAGATACATTAGAAGGAGAAGGGATGGGTTACTCACCCTCTCTGGACCTCAGTTTCCTTATCTGTGAAATGGGGTATAAAGAGAGCTAGATAATCTGAGGGAGGCACGAGTATGTTTCTGAGGGAGACTGAAATCTTTTTCCTTGTGAGACTAGATCAGCTACGCAAAATCAACCTCAGCCTGTTCTTATAAAGAAATTAGGATCCATTTAAAAGAAAACAGATAAGAAGCAAGAAAGATTGCAAAAAGCAAAACAAAACGAAAAACTAGTGATCATTGGCACTAGATTTACAATATGAATACTGTTCTCATGCAGGCAATTAGTGTACATGGCTGGCCAGCTATCTTTACTATAAAATTGTTAAGTGGGCTTAAAAAAGATTATGTATATCTCATCTGTGGACCTGAATTTTTTCTTTTGTTTTAAACTTCAAGCGTGGAGTGATGCTCAGTTGAATTGGTCTTGGTGCAGCCTTACTTGAAGACCATCCCCAGGAGCTCTCATTGCCATAGCACGATAGATATCCTTCTGTCTTACTGAAGCTGGGATCCTTGTACCACCACACTTCTGTCATCTTTTCCATTCTGGCTTGAGACGTGGTGAGCTGATTCCTGTTGCATCTGGCATTTCTGAACTTCCCAGGTTTCTTTTCAAGTGAGAGTAATTAATAGGCAAACAATGCATTAGATGCAGCACATTAAACATAGCTGGAGGTAATAATGTATCCACCACACCCCTATTCCCCAGACGCCCTGGGCAGCCTCTCACTAGAACTCCCAGGTCACCTGCTGGCCATCCCGTTTTGGATGTTGAAGGTCATCTAAGACTTGAAATGTTATGGCTGGGTCAAACAGCATATTAATGATCAAGCCATGATGCTTGAAGGAGAGGATTTTTTTATGTTTTATCATAACTGAATGCTCCTGTCCTTCTGTTCTCTTCCATTAGTAGGTTTCAAAATCCATGTTGGGTTTGACCACATCCTTTTCAGTAATCCTTTGTCATTTTCTTGGAAGCTGTAGTTAGTGGTTATCTCTGAGTTTGAGGTAGTGGTTAAATTATATCCTCTCCAACAAGTCAAGGCTTGACTAATTATGTTCAATCTTTAAAATGGCTGTAATATATAGACTTGTGTGTGTGTATGTGTGAGGGCTATTAAATTAATAGAAATCTTGATGCTAATAATAGTTACCTTTGAGCCCCTGCCGTCTGTCAGGCTCTGTGAGGTGAGAAAGCTCAGAAGGGGCACAACTCTGTAAGTGTTAACGGCTGGCTTGCACAAGTTACTGGGCTTTGAAACCAATTATCTTTTTTGATTAGTAGAAAAAGAATTCTTAGCTATCCTACAGGGTTGTGATATTAAATGAGATAATGTATGTGAAAAGCAACATGTACACTATAAAGTGCCCTCCAACTCAGGACAGTGTTTTAACATAAGCGCTGGGAGCCACTGCAAGCTTGTAAGTCCGTGAGTCTTGGTGTCTGTGGGCCTGGAGGTACCTGGGCCCATCACCTGCCCGCTCTGAGTCTGGTTTCTGCATATGTCAAATCAGGATAATGTTATCTGCTTTATATTGAGTGAGTTATATCCGTGAATTGCAGTGGGTGCTCAGTAAAGGTTGGTGTCGACCCCTCTCTCTCCCCTCTTGCCTGCAGGCGCTCAGAATAATGGGATTAAGTCTTCCAGTAGGAATTGTTCTCAAGGGAAAAAGGCTTTTAAAGTACATTTTTGTACTTATGAATAATTCTTCGGGCTTTTGCCTTTCCGCTCCAGCCTCCGACACACACAGTGAATATTCCAGGCCCTGCGATCACCTAAAAGGAGGGAATTGAACAAAACCAGAAGCTGGAAGGGACAAGTCTTGGATAGGAAGTTGAAGATGGATGTAGCTAGTTTCCCTTTGTCCATTTTGTGCCCTTCTCTCCTTTTTTATTCATTTTGTTGGACAGGGTAAAGATACTGAGTCTGGGGGGTTTCTAGCTGGAAGGAGGTGTTGAAAGAACTATAGTGTAAGATGGGAGGGCAGGGCAGATGTGGGCTGGCAGGGAGATGGAGGAGTTGAATCTGACAGTAAAAGCTGGAAGTTTGGTGTGGGGGAAATCGCTGTTTGATGTAGGATTTGGCTAAATATGGGGCCAATTTCCGTCTAGTCCTATAAGGTTCTCTTGTGGGGCTTTGAAGTTTTTGTGCTCCAGGCAGATTTGACTGGTCGTGGTGGCATCATAAATGAGTTTCCATAGTAAGTTGTATGCTGTAAAGGAAATTAAATTCCAAGAGGGTGTTTGTTGTGACTGATGCCAGAATTTCTCTGAGAATTTTATTAAGATTCAGTCAGTCTATTAAAGTACTCCTTAGTTCTCTGAAGATATTAATTAAGAAATAGTTTTAAAAAAATAGAAGTGTCTCCTTTGTGAGCTTTTGAAATGTAATCTTCCTAAATCTTTGAAACAAATGAAGTCCAAAAAATCATAAAGCTATATATTTTAAAAGCATTTCCTCCCCAAAGTAATGTTTTCCTGCTCCCTCCTCTCACATTATTTTGATAATGAGTTAATTTTGGTTTCTTTCACATTTTGGTAGCTTAATTTTTGTGTTTATTAACCTTCATTTTTAGATCTCGAATGTGCCTTCTTTTCCCTTGGGTTGATTCTCATTCATTGATTATGAAGGGGTAGTACAGTGAGGTGGTGAAGAGCAGACTCAGGAGCCAGGTTGGGGACAGGTAGAGTCGTGATCGTTTTGGGGGAGCTAGGCTCTCTGCAACTTGGATTTAATCCTCACGGCCGTTCTGGAGGTCGACCGTGTTATCCCCAACGCACTGATGAAGAAGTGGGCACACGACACGTGTGCATCCACATAGCCAGCAGGTGGTTAGTCTGAGTGTCCGCCGTGATTTGTGCAACTCCAAAACCTGTGCAGGCAGAGGCCTTGCACGGCCTGCCAGGAAAGGGGTGGGGCAGTGGGTGAGTTCACGATGGTGGGCAGCCCCTCGAGGAGTTGAGACCACCCTCCCTTGAAGGGTACAGTCTCAGTGGGGAGCCAGGCCATACACGAGTGAACTGGAGTTAGCAAGGGGAGATGGTTGGTCCTGGTGGCTAGTGTCTGCATGTCCCCGTCATAGGATGCACCATTGCCACATCAGGAATCTGCCGGTCTCACGCCCTCTTCCCTTGTCAGTTCCAGACTCCGTAATAAACTTGTTTGGGCTTCCGTTCTCCAGACTGCATAATACCCATGTCCTTCAGTTGGTTTGTTCATGCTTGGCTCAGGCCACTTGATGGGGTTCCGACTTTATTTGGGCTGTGTCCTCATTGTAAGGAGGCCAACGGTTACTCTCTTTGGACTGCCTGCTTCCTGGTATCTGCAGTCACAAGTCGTCTCTGCGGTGAGTCACTGCAGAAGACTCAGCTCCCCCACTTTCTGCCTGATGGTCACCCCTTTCCTTTCAAGATGTGACCTCTTTTCCTTGTCCTAAGGGCGCCTCTCAATAGCCCCCTAGCTGTGGACTGTTAAAGTGCCCAGTGAGGTTGGTGCCCTATCAGGGTACCTGTTTTAGTGGGAGGGGAGCATTTTCCCCAGGGATGTTAGCTGTCATGCCTGCCTCTTGAACATTATGCTCTAAGCAAAGCCTCACTGTTGTTTTTCTTTTTGCTTCCTGTTTAGCTGCATGTGTGTGTTTGTTTTAATTATCACTGGGAAGCAAAAATGATATTTATCAAATGTTTGAATCTACAGAAGTGCTACTGCTGGCAAGCAGAAAGAATAAATATATGTTTAGTCGGGATACCATTGACTTATTGCTCCCTTTTCCACATTGTTGCTGTTTTGTTGGCAGCACCATCTGATTTGTATAATGGTTCAGTTGGGATTTCAGCAGTGAGTGTGAAAAGATGCCTGGGCTGTTTGCCGACGTGGAGGGACTTGAATGAGTGGGCTTCGGGGCTGCCAGTCTTGGCTCTCCCTGCCATCCCTGGAGCCTGGCACATGGTGCCTCTGTTGGGAATGTGGAGTTTGGCCAGGCCATTTCTTTGGGTTCACCTGGGAGTAGCTCTGCTGGTGACAGCAGGTGGCCTCCCCTCTGCTGAGGGAAAGGGGACTCTCTCTCAATCCTGGGAGAGTGAGAGGGAGGAGAGTCTCAGAACAGTGAGTTTGGGAACGGGCCGGTTCAGGGTAGGACAGGTCTGCAGCTTCCACAGAGCTGTTAAAAAAGTTTTTCTCGCGTCGCACATTTCCCTTCTTTCCTCTTGATCCCGATCCAGTCTGTCTTCAGTGGCTTAGAAACTGAACTTTATCAGTCACTCTTGGCTGGAGTGTGGCACCAGAACTTGTTCAGATTGGTGCTGCGGTCTCACACCAGAACAAGAATCCATTTTTGACGGTGGTGGTGTTGCTTTTTAATCAGTTCAGTTGCTTTTTTCCTTGCACCCCACCCTCCCACTCAAACTGTGTAGAAGTACATAGCAGAAAATGCGAAGGCCCCCTTCACCAAGCACCCCTCCCTCATGCACCACCTCCCTGCTGGGTCCTCAGAAAGAACCAGTTTGAGCAGTGTTGATGCGTATCCTGAAACTGTCCATTGGCCTGTATAGACACAAATACATTGTTTTTTTTGGTAAGCGTAAGTCTAATTGCATCATACATATTGTTTCACTATTTTCTCTTTTAACATAATATATCTTGTAGATCTTGTCATGCATGTAGCTCTTCTTCTTTTAATTTGTCTACTACATTTTATAGTATAGATATATCATAATTTATCTACCAGTCCCTTATAGATAGACAAACTAACACATCAGTTTTGCTATTGTATCTTCATACATACATATTGTTATGTGCATATGCATGTGTTTCTCTAGGAGTGAAATTGGTGTGTCAAAGGCTCTACACATTTAAACTGTTACAGCAGTGTGCCCCCAGGGCTGTCCTGGTTTAAACTACCAGTAGTGGATGAGGCTGCCCATTTCCCCACGGGCTGGAAAGAAATGGATAGTGTTTAGTAGGCATTTCATCCATTACTGGTGAGGCTCTGAGACTTGTCATTTGGCTTCTGGATCTTAGCGGGCGGGCCTGCTGTATCCATGGAGGCTAAGGGAGCTGAGCCTCAACGACCAAGGCTCTGCTCAGGGTGGTGTGAGCGTCCTCCCACCAGGGGTAGCAACGTGGCACTGGAAGCAAGCGCTCCTGGTTTCACATTCTCTCCACTTTCCCCAGAGGCTGGATACTGTAATAGAACACTTTAATTTTGGTGTAACCTGCCAGAGTATTTCTGAACCTCTCCCCTGAGGAAGGAAGCGTGTGTAAGTAGCACATTGAGACTAGTCTGTTCTGCATTGCCAAGGCAGGGATTTGAGACAGGGGAGCCGAACTGGGAGAACATTTAAAGATTGCATCCCGGAAAATCAGACCCTCTTGCTTCTGGAATAGCCTCCGTGAAGGTGGTAAAGCGAGATTCTGTGCGAGGTAGGTCTTTTCTTCCAGCGGTGTGGTGATTGGTCCTTGTCTCTCCTGGGTTGTTGTGGGAATGTTGTGACTGTTTGTGCCTTAGCAGGGTGCGTTGGGGAGAAGCCATGGTTTCTTAGAAGGTGTTCCAGGAGCCTAAACTGCTAGAGGAGGCGTCTGGAGGCCCTCACAAATAGGCTCACCCTGGGCCATCCCTGCAGACTGAGCTGCCCAGTGGGTTTTGGGAAGCTCTGGCTTACTGGACAACATTGTCCTTTAATGGCTGCTCAAAGGGGGCCAGAGAGAAGGAGTGATGGAGGAGGCAGCCTGGGGTGGTGAAGAGACTCTAGGGTCAGGCCAGGCTGGGTTCTGGCTCCCACTCAGCCCCTCATGGCTGTGGGACTTAAGCAAAGTTATTTTATCTCCGTGAGCCTCAGTTTCCTCATCTGTAAACCAGGAATAATATTAGTACCTACCTGACAGGGTTGTGAGGATTAAGAGAGTAATGTTTGAAGCTCTCAGCACATTACCTAGTAAGGATCAGTCATTGTAAGTAACTATGGCTCTTAGTTGTGTTCTCCTTTCCTTAATAAATGTGTTTAAATGCATGAATGCAGGTTACATTTGCTAAACATAAAAATGCACATAATCTAGTAATGTGTTAAAGAGAGGAGGCTAGGAAATTGGTAGCTACTAGAGGCAGGTTCAGATCAGTTGGGGTTCCGGGGGTAAAGCAGGGGTGAAGGGGGAAGTCTGGTGGGGAGCCTCCTGGGGGAAGGAGAGCAAATCTGATGTTCTCTCCTTACACCAGACTCCTGCTGTGAAACATCAAGTCTCCCAATGCAGAGGCCTTTCCCTTTCCTAGATACCTGTCTCTTTCTTGTTTCTGTCTCTACCTGTCTCTAGATACCTGTTCTTGAGGAGGTGGAGCGAGACCCTGCGAGGTGAAGGGCCTGCCCACGCCACAGCTGGCCGGTACAGAGCGGAGATGGGGTCCAGGTCTCCTTGCCCTGGGGGGTTGAGGCTCTTTCCCCTCTTCTCCACACTGCCACCAGCTGTCCGTTTCCAGATGCAGGAAAAGAGAGCTACACGGTGTTAGGTGCTTTGCAAACATCTGCCATTTGCTCCTTCTGCCCTTGTGAGATGAGGTCACTGAGGTCCAGAGACACAAAGTCAGCTATAGCCCAAGGCGAGGCAGCGCTGGGACTCGGACTCTGGTCAGCCTGGCTCCAAAGCTCCTGCTTTTACCTTCTACCTGGTTACGTTCCTAAAAGTGCTGGCCCCAGGTTGATGTCTGTGCTGGTTTCATACCCCGATCACCTGTAACTGCACCACTCAGAGAGTGATGTCCACGTGTGTGTGTGTGTGCATGTGTGTTCGTGTATGACAGCAAGTTCATTTGAAGTCCCTAATTTGTTTGCTGATGGTTCACCAAACTGGAGGTCTGAGACCTGCAGGTTGAGCGTGGAGAAGGCTGCACCCAAGATCTGCAAAGCAGCCCAGGTCGCTCAGGTGCAGATGGGGAAAAGGAAACCGTGCTCTTGGGAGCTGAGCTTGGTGGGTGAGCTTGTCGCCTGTGGGCCTGGGAGGAGCAGGGCCACCCAGCAAGGATGCAGGCAGGACCTGGGCAGACTGCATGGTCTGCAGAGCGCCAGAGGCAGAGGCCTGTGACGTAAGTCCAGATAATATGTGTGAAAATTAACTATGCAAACGAGATAATAGTGGCCTGAGGTACGAGAGAGATTTCATAGTATGTGGAAAGTGCCAAATGTACTGCCCTAAGTGTAAGTCGGCAGAACAGAGAATTCACCTTGGCTCCAGAGGTCTGAGCAGGCTTCTCAGAAGCAGCGCAGATTACAACAGGCCTCGCCTGCCCCTTGGAGAGTGGGCAGATTTGGCTTCTAATCCATCCTTCAGTTTGCAGGTGAGGACTCTGAGACCCAGGGTGAGCTACCTGGTTCAGGGTTAAGGCCCTAGTCGGGGGAGAGCCTGTCCTTCCTGTCTCTCCACCCACAGATGTGGTTAGTGATTACTGCACGTAGCAGCTGTCCTGAGGGCTAGCATGGCACTTAGCACTTGGAGGAGCTCAGTATTATTGATTAAGTGAATGAACAAGGTCCCAGTTCTTATGTCTCTGAACAAGGTTAGAACATTAGCTTCTCAATTTTGCCCTCAGTAGGACGGGTATAGCACCCCGGCCTCCCTTCTAAGCTCATCTTCATTCACTCACAGTTCTTTCAGCAAATATTTATTGAGTGCCTACTGGGTGCCAGACACAGTTCTATGCTTTGGGCATTTTGCACTGAACAAAAGAAGCTGAAATCCTGTTCTTCTGGAGTTTATTTTGTAGTGAGGGGCAACAGACAATAAATGATTACAATTCATGGTATGTGTATTGGTATCCTTGGACTGCTGTAACGAAGGACCGACCACAAAGTGGATGGCTTAAGCAACAGAAATGTATTCTCCCAAGGTCTGGAGGCTCTGAGGGAGGCTCTGTCCCGTGCTTCTTTCCTGGCTTCTGGTGGTTGCAGGCAGTCCTTGGTGTTCTTGTGGCAGCACAGCTCTGCTCTCTGCCTCTGCCATCACACAGCCTCCTCCCTGTGCTATGTCTCTTGTTTTCTTGTAAGGACACCAGTCATTGGATTAGGGCGCCCTCTACTCCAGTGCGTCCTCATCTTAACTAATTATATCTGCAAAGGCCCTGTCTCCAAATGAGGTCACATTCTGAGGTTCCAGGTGGACATGGATTTTTGGGGGACACTGTTCAACTCAGAGCAGTATGTGAGGTAAAGATGATTGCTGAGAAGCAAGGGGAGCACCAGGGGCAGAGGGGGTGGTGGTGAGGTGCTGACAGGTGGTAAGGCAGGCCTTGCTGGGAAGGTAGTGTTTGAGCTTGGATCTGGAGGAGGGGCCAGGAAGAGCTGATGTGTGGAGGGAGAGCAACCCAGGCAGAGGGGACAGTGAGTGCAGAGGCCTTGAGGTGGGCGGGTACACCTGCTGGGATGGCAGGTGTGTGTGTGTGTGTGTGTGTGTGTGTGTGTGTGTGAGAGAGAGAGAGATCACAAGGACCCGAGGTCCGAGAGCTATGTGAGAGAATCAAGGATCAAGTAGGTCCCTGCCAGTCTTTGTGGGGAGTTGGGCCTTTTGCTCTAGTGAGATGGGAGCTGTTATGGTGGTGGTGAGCATAGATGGCCGTGAGCACCAATGAAAGCAGGGTAGGCATGGACCAGTTCATCTAGGATTTTTTGCAAGTTCAGATGGCCATTGCTGCGCTCTGTGCGTGTGCCTAGATATTTTGCAGCAACTGTTACTCTGCAGTTTCTCCTTTAAATGTTAGTGCTCTGTTGACCCTTGATCCACCGCCCTTTCCTGTCTGTTCTCTCTCCTTCAGGAAGCCTTTTCACCCACCCACCTCCCCACACTTAAACCACAAGCATGAGGAAGAGAGAGTAGACAGACAAGGCTGGGGGTGGCTGGGACCACCAGGGAACTCAGTGTGTGTGGCAGCCCTGCTGTTAGCTCTTCTCCTCCCCTAAGCCCTGGGCCTGCCTGCTGAACACTACGCCCATGGGTAAGGTGTTTATCCCCCAGCAGATTTAGAAAATGCTGAGGTCAGTGTGTGAGCTCAGTGTATTCAGCAACTCGGATCCTTCCATGGATAAAGTCGCTATGCTGTGAAAAGAGTCGAGTCAGCTCCCTTGGGCAGGGAGCTGCATTTGGTCTTGAAAGTACAGGGCGGGGAGGGATGTCCAAAAGTACCTGTGGAGAGACCCAGTGAACTGTTGTGGGGTCAGTGTACACGGCCCCGGGGCCCTCTCCAGCATCCGCTTTGTAGCTGGCCTCCAAAGTTCTGCACATTTGTTGTTCTTACTGCTGTGAAAACACTTAGGCCTGCGATCTGAGTGTCAGTCATTGAAAAGAGGAAGGAGCTCCAGTTGGTGCTGTGCTCTCAGCAGGGCTGGCCTGATGGTCTGAGGCCTGGGCCAGTTCGGTTTGCACAGTTGCTGGGGGAATCATAACTTCGGATTCCTTGGCGTCAGAGCTGAAGGGAAATCTCCTTATCTGGCTGACATTTAATTTCCTCTTTGGGCCGCAAAAGGAAAGGGCCTGGCACGTTTGTGATTAGGGCTCCAGAGCAGTGGGCTGTGGGTGGCCTCCTTCAGGCCCTCTTCCCTGCCTCCACCTGCCGGGGCGCCCCGGAGCAGCCCGTGCAGGGAGGTTATCTGGGAGCCGCTGGGCCGTCACCCCTCTGGGGAGCACCGCTTTAGAAGATAATGACGTGTCAGCGGAGATGGAAATAGAATTCCCCTGCGCCAGGAGCAGCTGCTCTGCTGTGGGATTTCAGGAGCTGCCTTTGGGCACCACTCGCTTATTCTCCCCACCCCCAAACAAAACACACACTCTTACAAAATGAAAGTTGTGAAGACTATTCCCAGCTAGAAAATGAGCATTAAAAATGTGTTGTGTGAGATTGTAATTCCTTCCCCGGAGTTATTTCTGGGGCTGCTTCCCCAGCACATCAAAAGCGCTTCCTGAGAGGAGCTGCCTTTTAAATCGCGCAGCCTCTCGGCCAGATGCTACAGGAAGTTTTGACTCAGGTAGCATCCCCAGGAGTCTATGGAGTCTGGCCTTGTTTCCGCATTATATCAGAGGCAGAGAGGCCTTGCTCAAGAGTGGGAGCCAAGTGTTCCCCTAAAAGAGCCTCCTTGTCCTGTGCCCAGGGTGCCTTTGTCGCTTAGTAAATAAATAGTTCTTGATGGGCAGGATCTCCTGGATGCAGGCTCTGACCATTTTTGCTGGGCTCCGAGCAGGCAGCATGCTGTGAGTTAGCTCAGAGCCCTGAGGGCTCAGTCTT